ATTTTTAAAGGAATGCAAAAACTTGTTGACAGATGAACAAAGTGTACTGAAAAACATGGAGATTATGACGAAAATTATGTATTTGTCTTTTCTATATGTGGATTAAAATAAAATCTACAACCAGAGTGCAAATAAATTTTGACTCACCCTCATAAAAATTAGATGTATTTTTACATACTAGCAATGAACTTACCACTTGTCTGTCACTTTATCACACTGTGGCTTGTGTGTTGCTGTGATGCTGGAAGCTATGCCACCAGTATTCTGAATGCCAGAAGGGTCAGCCATGGTGGACAGGTTTCAGCTGAGCTTCCAGATGAAGACGTAAAAGGAGGAAACGCAGACTACTCCTGAATGTTTAGCTGCTGTAATCCTTATGAATAGCAGGGAAACACTGCCGTATAGTACCAGAATACCCAATTTTGAAACCTGATGAATAGCTCCAGAATTTTGTCAGATAGAGTATGGAGGAACACACTCAGCATTTCTCAAGTTAAAAGAACTGAGGAAAAATTCAAGCCTTGACTTGCAATACTGAAGGATTCTTTCAGCAAAATATTGAATGATGCAGAAAACATCATAAGATAATGGCAGGCATACACAGTCACTGTATCAAAAAGAAATGCCCAATGTTAAGCCATTTCAAGAGGTAGCACTGAAGAAGTCCAATGTGTACTGAAGGCAGTGGCAAAGAACAAGGCTCCAGGAATTGACAGACTACAAATTGAAACCGTTCAGCAAAATGATGGAGCACTGGAGGCACTCACTCATCTGTGCCAAGAAATGTGGAAGGCAGCTACCTGGCCAGCTGTTTGGATCTCGCCCATTCCAAAGAGAGGTAACACACGGAATGCGGAAATCATCTGACAATATCATTAATATCACATGCAAGTAAAATTTTGCTGAAGATAATTCAAAAGCTGCTGCTGCAACAGTATGTTGACAGGCAACTGCCAGAGGTTCAAACCAGATCAGAACAAGAGATATCACTGCTGAAGTCAGATGGATCTTGGCTAAAAGCAGAGAATGCCAGAAAGATGTTTACCTGTGCTTCAGTGACGGTACAGGGGCTTATGGACAGCACTGTGGAGAGTGGGTATTCCAGAACACTTAACTGTGCTCATGACGAATGTGTACATAGACCAAGGGGCAGTTTGTTTGTTCAGACAGAACTATGGTACACTAAAGGTTGTGTGCCAGGGTTTTATTCTTTCATCATACTTAATCTGTATGCTGAGCAAATAATGGAAGAAGAACGTGGCATCAGGATTGGGGGAAGGCTCATCAGTTAATCTGTGATTCAAATGATACAACCTTCCTTGTTGAAAGCAAAAAAGACTTAAAATACTTAGGGATGGTGATCAAAGACCACAGCCTTAGGTATGGTTTGCACCTAAATGTAAAGAAAACAATAATCCTCAACATTGGATCAATAAATAACTTCATGATAATGAAGAAAAGAATGAAGTTGTCAAAGACTTCATTTTGCTTGGATCCACCATCAATACACATGGAAACAGCAGTCAAGAAATCAAACATATTGCATTAGGCAAATCTGCTGCACAAGACCTCTTGATAAAGTGTTGGAAGAGCAAAGATGTCAGTTTCAGGACTAAAATGCACCTGCCCTAAGCCATGGTATTTTCAATAACATCATATACATGTGAAAGCAAGCTACAATAATAATAGTAATAATCTACATGTTTATATTGTAGATCAGTAGAACAGAAATGAGCCCAGAAATAGACCCACTTATTTCTGCCAAAGGTACAAGGCAATTTAGTAGAGGAAAGCTTTTTTAGCAGGTGGCATAGCAACAATTAGATGTTGCATGGTAAAGACTGTTAGGACTCCAATCCCCACAATGTGGAGATTGAGCTGTTCCCACTTCTCCATCTTCATCGCCAGCCACCCCTGGGGCATTCTTTGACCCTATCCACCTGGAACCTCATCAGAGCTCACAAGTTAAAAGGACACTTGTCTTTAAGACTGCCAAATAGGCAGACACTTGCTGAAAGTTTGGGGAGTCCACACGACACACCAACTTTCTGACTTCTTGTTGAGTGCTGTACTGTCTATTCTGTCCCTGTTTAGGGTTTCCAAGGAACAGCTGGTGAGCTTAAACCACTGACCTTGCAGTTCAAACGTCTTTGCAGTCTGACACAGACCATCAATTCAATATTGATTTCCTTTTAACTCTTCAAGATGTGAGCTGCAAGCTCAACCCTTACTTTCTGGCCTGCTTGCTCCTACTACCTTTTGGGTTCAATAATTTGCTGGAATGACTCACAGAATTTATAGCTCAGTAACTCTGGTGGCACAATGATTAAATGCTTGGGTGCTAATTCACAGACTGGTCATTTGAACCCAGCAGCTGCTCTGCAGGAGAAAGTTGGCATCTTTTTTCCTACAAATTATTATTGTTGTTAAGTGCCTTAGAGTTGGTTCTGACTCACTGAACCTGAAAAGAATGTCTGAGGCTGTAAATCTTTGCAGGAGCAGAAAGCCTCATCTTTCTCCCACGGTGTTGCTGGTGGGCTCAAACCATCAGCCTTGTCGTTTGCAACCCAATGCTTATCCTACAAATTTCAGCCTTACAAACCCTCTGGAGCAGTTCTACTCTGTCTATAGGGTGTATGAGTTAGAATCAACTTGACAGCTTCGCTTTTTCTCTACCATACTATGACTACAGATTTAGTCTGTAGGGAAGGGCTGCAATATGAAGACTGCATGTCCCAAGGAGTATTCTGCCCTCCCAAGAGCAGATATTTTTGTCAACCAGGAAGCTTTCTGAGTCTCTGTGATCAGGGTTTTGTACCAGCCAATCCTGAAAAGTCATGTTTTCTGAGACTAGTTGAAAGGTCCGTTTCAGGACATCCTTTTCAGGTTAGTCTTCTCTGTCTAACCAGCCCCTGCGCATCAGCAGATTCTCACATGTGACCTGGAATTCCAAAACCAAGGCACTCTTACTTCTCCAGAGTCAATGACCGATCCTAGGTCTGTCCCCACAGATAACCAGATGCAGAAACCAGCCATTTATGCCCTCTGTTATTAAGTGCCTTCAGATCAGTTTCTACTCATACCAACCCTGGTTAGGGTTTCCAAGGCTATAAGTCTTTGCAGGAATAGAAAGCCTCATCTTTTACCCTTATGTGCTATACCATATGCAAAAATTAACTCAAGTGAATTACAGAACTAAAATTAAGCCTGATAAGCACTGGACTGCTAACCCAAAGGTCAGTGGCTCAAACCCAGCAGTGGTTCCTTGGAAACCATATACATAGTCACTGTGAGTCAGAGCCAACTCACCACAACACTTAACAACATCAGCATCTAATATAAAGAATCATCAAATCTCAATTAGAAAATAAAAAATTTAAATGGGCAAAAGATTGGAACACACTTGACATATCACATCCTTATCATGGGTGACATTTAAAAACAACTAACAAATTTTGACAGGAGTGTGGAGCAACTGAACTTTTATACATTGCTGGTAGAAATGAAAAATGGTTTAAGGGTAATTATCACCCTAATGAAATGAAACTCATATTCGAATAGAAACACATATATTAATTTTTTGCCAAAAGTAGAAAACCACCCAAATCCTCCTCTAACTAAAATCTGTGGTATATCCAGACTACTAATTCCCAATAAAAAGGAACAACTGATACAGTATAGGAGACCTGGTGGTGAGACAGTTCACATACTCAGTTGCTAACCAAAAGGTTGACAGTTCGAACCCACCCAGTGGCTACGTGGGAGAAAGACCTAGCCATCTGTTCCCATAAAAACTACAGCTAGAGAACATTGTAAACCAGTTTCATGCTGTCATATTGTATTGCTAAATTGACTTGATAGCACCTAACACTTGATATAATCAAGTCTCTCTCAAGCGCATTAATGCGTAAGTGAACGACACTCACTTACCATATGGGTTCCAATTCTGACTTTCTGGAAAAGGCATGAATATGAGTCCTGGTAAGGTGCTGCAGGATAATGCATTGGACCACAAGGTCAGTTTGAACTCCAAGGTCGGTGGTTCAAACCTACCAGCTGCTCCTTAGAAACCATTTACAGGGTTGCTCTGAGGTAGAACTGACTCGATGGCACATAACAACAATAGGGATAAAGAACCAGAAATGGTTGTCTGAGGGTGGGTTGGCTGTAAGGGGAAATAAGGGAATATTTTAGCGTGACTGTTATACAATGCAGAAAAACTTTACTGTAAAAAGTGAGCAGGATTATAGATCAAATAGAGTGGACAACTGTGGGGTGATGGGTATGTGGGAATTCACTGTACTTTTTGTATTTTCATCTATTTTATATAATGAATAGGTGAATATGCTTATTATACTTTCTATAAGGGAACATGGACAATGACGCATCACATGAAAAAATATTTTAAACAAGTATGCAACCAGAAAATAGTCAGCTCGGTGACTTTGGGGGTTTGGAGAGCTCAGTGCAGAAGGCCCTGTACCAGCAGGCCCTTTCTCCATCACGCTCCTCAGCTGAACCACACAACACCGCACAAAAGCTAGTTTGCATAATGTCTGTAGTTCTCCCAAGAATGACTCCTGACTTGTACCGTCCTAGATTATGGACACGTTAGGGAGTTACAGCTAGCTTCTCTGTGAAATCCCAGTTGAGAAGGGCTGCTAAAAAGTGAGTAACTCTAACTAAACAAAGGGGGTAGGGGTGTAACGGTGTACACTTTATGCTGACTGCTTTAAACAAAACAACACACACAATTAGATGTGACAAAGCAACATGATATTCCATAATTATTACACTTTGTGAAAACACGTAGATCAAAATTACCTACGGACTTTGTTAGAAATACTCTGCTCCCACCCCCAGATAGTCTTCCTAGCTACAAGTTATTAGGGTGTATCTTTTAGTAGTTGTATTCTCTATGACCTGTTTAACTGATTGGAGCATTTTAAAGTCTTTATGTCTATTGTTTCCCCTCCCACCCCCACCCCGCCCCGCCCTAGACACTGAAGGAAATTAACAGTATGATACGGACAGGAGAAACTCCAACCAAAAAGAGAGGGATTCACTTGGAAGATGGAAGTGAATCACCTGCCAAAAGAATTTGCTCAGAGAATCATTCTGCCTTATTACGCCGTCTACAAGATGTCGCAAATGACCGGGGTTCCCATTGAGGTTAGTCTTCCTGAAGTGGAACTGTCTTTTCGCAGACTCTGGTTGGCAGCAGCATTTCACGCACACTAGGTTGGGAGGCCACTCAACTAGTCACTCAAGTACAAGTGTGAAGGGGTGCTTCCATGAGCATCTGAACTTAGGCCTTCCAGTGTCCTTACAACATTTTTATTCATCCCACCTGTCTTTTTCCCTACCATTCAGTGCTTACCATCAAGGCTGCTTAGAATCCAAAACTGGATTTTTAACTATTTGGCAAAGTTTTCACAAGTATTGTACAGAGCAAAGCATGCTCAAATATGTGTATTAGGAGTTTCTATTGACATACTCTCCAAGAGAGGAACTGTATTTCAAATTCATTCCTACCTGTTTTGTGGTCAGCTCTGGTCGTCAAGAAATGCAAAACAAAACTAGGGTATTTTGTCCTCCATCACTTTGCAGGAGTGTGAGGTGTTTGCATTTCTGAAACAGAACAGGGGAGCCCAGACTCAGCGGCTCTACAGCAGTAGCTGCGGGCTCTCGGTAGCTGTGGCACCATGTGAGTGTCTGTTCGTTCCGTTGTGCGATGAGTCAGTGAACGTGTATACCAAGTGGCACTTTAGGACTGTAAAAAGCATTTTTTTTTTACACCCAGACTTTGCTGTATATTTGTGATGGCACTTTCTACAATGTGAATTTTATGAAGTACAAAACTTCTAGGCTAGACATTCAGTATCTTTTATCATTTTCTACTTTTTAAAAGCTCATTGTTAAAGCGCTAGTAGCCACCTTTTGGGCATGTATTTTAAATTCTCCAATTTTCTGTTGATCTTATATAGGGATCAACTGGCTAAAAAGATTTTAAATCAAGTTGAATTAAGGGTGTTAATGTGAACAATTATGACCTCTTCCTTTAGGAGGCAGTTAAACAAAAGACGTGTCTATTACGGTGTGATATAGTTTAAGGATCTCTGGGTATGTTCCTGGCAGTTAAAAAAAAAAAAAAAAGATTGGAGAATTTAGGTCTTTGTTAGTACATAGTACATTTATACAACTTAGAAAGTGATATTTAACAGCAATTGAATTATCTATGTATACCTTTAGTAATCACTCCTATTTTCCCAGCAGTTTTAAAGTTGAATTTATCTATTAGGGAGAAAATTCAATTGTAAATTGAATCAGTATAAACAAAGTTACTAGGTAACTTCATATTGCTCCAAGACATACGGAACTGACACTATTCAGTGAGAGTAGTGTTCTACAGAAATATTTATAAAAGCTCTTAAGATTCTGCTACTGCAATTTTATATGAAAATAAGTATTTTTCAATAAAGCATTTATATATTAATCTGTTTAGTTATATTTAGAAGTGTTTAGTTTCCTGCATAGACGACAAAAAACAATCATTTATTAGTTTATTTTGTCTCTACTAACACATTAGTCATTCATCATTTAAATACCTGACTTCATTAGAAACCGTTTTAACACTTCTCCCTCCCACCATAAAAATACAGTGTAATTTGCTTTAAAACAAAACAAAACAAAACAAAACTACGAGTAAGTGTCTGGTTTCCTCTCCCTCAACTACTAGGTACCCTCAGTGACAGCGGTTTATAAATCAGTCAGACAGTAGTCTGAGGACTGAGCTTCAATGATCTGCTTCAAAGTGCTGAGCTATGGAATTGGCTCTCTCCACATCCTAACACATACAACCGAAACCACTGATTTAAAAAACCATTAAGTAGTGTTGGACTCTGCCTACTCTAGTATTAGTTTCAATAAATGCAACTTACCTTAGTGTTGTATTCAGAAAAATATTAAGACTCAAGGCCCCCAACAATTTGGAGTACTGAACTAGATAACCACCCTAAAGACACTTCTGACAGAAGTAATGCATTATTTAAAGAGAGGTTTCCAAAACCTGCTGTTGGAAGCTAAGCATATATGGAAAACACTGGTCGCAGTCATTGTCCACACAGTTTTACTCTTCAGGCAGTCCTTTGCCATTGGTCAGCTTTAACTAGGCCAGAGTCCAGCAGGAAAGTGCGCGGTGCACCAGATTCACCACCTCTTAGGTTGCTACTGTTTTCTCTTCTTTACTGAAAGGTTGTACTGAGCCAGGCTTTACCCACGACAGGCCTGCAACATGGACACTTTTATTGTGCTGTTCTTCAGGCTTCTTCTAGGCACAATAAAAAACAGACATTAAAAAACCTACTGATGAAAGTTCTACACAGACTTGTTGCCCCAGAAGTTATTGTTTACAGTGGTTTCCTATTAAGACACTGTAGAAAAGACACAGTGAACTAACCACCTGAGCAATGGTTATCCACTTACCTTCTGAGTCAGCATCTTCTCTCTGGCTTCATCATGTACAGATGGATTCCACGGAGAAAAGCTCAAGGGAGAGAGAAGTATTAAAAACTGCATTGGGCTGACTGTATTTCTAATAACATCAATTTTTCAATCAGTAAGTCAGTTCCTCCCAACAAATAAAACCAGGAACAGTACTTTTAGAGTGGTTTAAACTGCAGCCTTCCGGCTAGCAGTCCTACAGTGCCACTAGCCCGTATAGAGCACTTTCCATGGGTTCTCTCAGCTAAGCCTCACAACAATCGCCAGTACTGTTACTTAAAGAGGAATAAAGTCAGGGACAGTCAAGTTGCTGTGTCGCCAAAGCTAAAAGCCAGCCAATCCATGTGCAGAGCCCATGCTCCTGACTATACAGAGCTGCCTGCCATGCCGCACCAACGTGCCAAAGAGGTCAGTCCCCAGCTCTCCCAGACACTTTCTCCAGAATCAGTCTCTGTGAGCTCATCACCTCACACACTAGTTCACTTCCTTTCTGTCACCAAATTTGAAGGAATGTCAATGTGGCTGCTCAAGAGGGACTCTAGCTAAAACTGCTCGCTGAAAAGTCTGACATGTGAATAAATGGGCACATTACAGGACCCTTCGAAAACCAGAGTCACTACATACCTTGCTATCGGCACAATGTGCCACATAATGTAAACATTTTGAGTCCAATAGGCATCAGATATCAAATGGACAGCCAGCTATAAAGGCTGTAGGCTAGCAGATTATTATGCACTTCCCTGTCAAACCACCATCCTGGGAAAGGGAAGCAAAGCACTCAGAGGGCAGTTCATCAGCACGAAGCCCCGCTTACCTAATGGCGTAGGGGTCCTCTATTTTAGGGTGGTCAAACAGATGAGACGCACACACCTTAACACTGTCAACCACTTTACTTTTAAAAAGTTGAACATCTTTTTCGTACCTGTGGTAAAGTATAAAGAATAAAAAGAGTTAGCAACTTAATCCAACTTAATGGCATTTCCAAATGGTTTGTAAACAACAAAGCAAAAGTAACGTACTGTACGGCAGCCTCTGGGTTTAGGGGACTTGTGGTGTCAATCTTGTAGAAAATTCTCCTTGCATACATTAATACTTGCCAGATATGATTATGGTTCCGCCTAAAGGGAAACAGCATGATTACTGATGTTTCCTCCTACTGCAAAGTGTCATTAGAAGAAACACTACTTACTAACCTCCACTTTGTAAATGCTCGCTTCACATCCAGTTCACCTGAGGTGGGATCAACCAGCGGGTGGAAGACAGGAATATCAAACACCAAGCGCTACATTTAAAGAAACATATCCGTTACTGGAAGCGGTGGAGGAACACCAAGCCTACTAAACCCACAGAATAGTCATAACAAGAGTTTCAGGAGAACAAGGCAGTCATAATGTGAAAAATCAAAGAGCTGCCTCAAAATACTTAGCTACTTTGACCATGCCCTCATAAAACTGAATTTGCAATGAAGAGGGAAACAGTCACTCTCTTCCCTCAGAGCACACGCTCATCACTCACACAGCATATGCTGTGGTATGGCTTCCAGAGAAACAAAGCTAATGGTAAAGGATGCCCTGATAGTACGGGAAAGATAGGCGTTTTGGGAAACTGAAATCAAAATCATAAAGGCATTAGCTAAGCGCTTGCACAGCCACACTTATCTCCTACTTACTGGGCAGTCCCCATCTGGGTAGTTGTCAGGGATGTACACTGTAAACTTAAATACGCCGTCCTGATAAAGACCATGCCGTATGAATATTACTCCAAACCACACTACAGTAAAAAATAAAATCAGTCAAGGTTTACATTTGTGTCAGGGGAACCAGACAGACTAGAAAGGAAGAAAGAATCTTTGTCTTACTTAACGCAGAGCGGTAAGATGGCTGCACATAGATGCCTGGTAACTTCTGCTTCACAACCAAGGTACTAAAATAGAAGCAGAATAATTCACGTGTATGGATAGCAATGACACACACACACACACACACAGAGAAAACCACCCCACCATCACTTCCAGAGACACAGAACCGTCTCTCCAGGGCTGACTGATGTCCCAGCACACTCACACTGAGTGCTGCCCGGGGAATGGCCCACCAAAGCAAGGCCCCACCATCTTGGAAATCAGTCTATAGGTCATTAGAACAGTGCAGACTGATCTAAGGAAATGAGAGTTTTTGTAAAGTGACTATTGCTTGCAGGACTATCTATGACAGATCTCACTCAGATATTCAGAGTCATTTTAAATTGCAGCTCTCGGTAATTAAGTAAAAATTCCACAGTGGGAGTCATCCTGTAGGTACCATTTGGGCAGATGTTAGATTCGCAGTGCTGTTTCGTAGAGGCAGGCCCCAGTGCAAGGCTCTGGCACTGCACTCTTCTCCCAAGTCTCCCACTCTGTGGGCCTTGCTGGGGGTGACCAATGGGGATTAAGGAAAACAAGGGAAGCCAAGAGCACCTCTAGCCCGGTTTCTCAGGCTTTTCTGGAATCTGGTTACCCATTGACAGCCATTCGGCCCTGTTCCCTGCAGCTATGAGCCTAACTAAGTAAGGCTGTGGCCAGACCTTGAAAAAAGCAATGCTTTCCTAGAACCTGAAAACATTAAGCTGCCAATCTTGAAATTTATCAAAGTCTGTATTGGAACATTGTTAATGGTTTTTGGTACTTGCTTACTCTTCGCCTTTTTAAAGTAGTTACCTATTCCACTTTTCAGTCATCAAAACCCAACATGTCAACAGTAGTCGTTAGCAGATGATCTACCAGTGTGATCTGCCAGAAAAGGCAATTCTGTGGTCTCGTGCAGAGAGCAGATTTAATCACAACAATAGAAGTCTGTCCCATCTCCCTGCCCAACCACAAACACAAGGCAGCACTTATAAAGCTGAAGGGACTAGTGCTATGAAATCACACCCAGTCCATTACACTAGGCCTTCAGACCTTCTGCCCATCATCACACTTTACTACACTGAGGGGAGAGAGAGGATGTTTTAAATAACTTCATATATATACGAGCTTTAAATGATGGACACTGAGATTTCTCCACATGTTCTGTTTTTGAAACAAATGTTCAAGTCAAATGCCATCTAAATTCACTTAATTTTGAGTCCTATAATATACCAAGGAGCTCTGGTAGCGTAGTGGTTACGAATCAGGCTGCAAACCTCAGGGACAGCAGTTCCAAACTACCAGCTGTTCCACGGGAGAAACATGAGGCTTTCTGCTCCCATAAAGATTTATAGCCTCGGAAACCCTGTACAGGGTTGCTATGAGTCGGAACTGACTCCATGGCACATAACAACAACAACATAATGTGCCAGGTGCTATGACATCACCATTCAGCACTCTATAGATATGTGCAACTTTAATCCAATTTTTGACTTCTGTGACTAGTTCTTTCTTACATGAGGTCTAAATCTCTCCCTGAATTGCCTAGTTCTGCCATCAAGGATCATACAACAGTAAGTCAAATCTTCCTTCTAATGCCAGATTTTCATATAGATGGAAAAAGTATTCATAACTACTTGCTAAGTTTTCTCTTCTCCAAGCCAATTTCTCTAGTTCTTTCCATTGTTGATTCCTAAGGATTGGCTTCTTCCTGACCTCTTCCTACAAGGACTACCTCCCTCAGGTGGTGGTCCACCTGTCTGGATGCCTCCTACAAGGTAGTGAGTCTGACCCAAGGAACAACTGGTTCACCTCAAAGTTCAGAAGGAAGCTTCTGGCCTACTGTCGGTTCTTAAGTTTAGATTCTTCCTCCTCTTGGTTTCCAAAATAGACATGGAAACTAAGGCACACATCTGCTTTTAAATCGGATTTATCCAAGCACAAGAATATATTTATATAAATAGCTAGGTCTTAGGTAGGACAGATTTCATCCTACACAGTTGCCTCAATAGTTCACTACACACATGAAGGCTAATATGGGAGGGAGTGCAGATGTGAGCTGAGGTTTAAAATGAAATGACTGCCATTTACGGAATCCATCAGAATAAATTACATTCTTTGCCTTCAAAGATCACTCAAAAATGCAACCAAATACCTTGGGAACTTACAATTCTGCAAGAAGCGAATATTCCAGGTAGAAGGGTCCATAAGAAGCATGTGTGCCATTTGTAGACTGTGCTGCTGGGGCAGGAGATGTGGGCTTAGTTATGGGCAAAGCATTTTTGGGAATAGAAGGCAGCTGTTTCTTTGGAGCAGTGCGTGGAGGACTGGTTTTCAGGTCCCCTGTTACCGTCTTCTCTTCACCATCAGATCGCTATTCAAGATGAATATTTGTTAGGATGAGTACAATCTTAACTCCATGACGTAATAGTTGGAATCAGACACTGTACAAGACCTAGAAAAGCGTCCTTGAACCTACAGACTAGGGAAGTTCAGGTGCTAAGAAGTTCAACATAAAGTATAGAGTATGATGGCTGAAGTTAGTACCTGGGTTAGAAGCTAAGAAAGAGGCTAGTCTCTTGCTTAAGTTGGGTCTGATTTTGATCTTGTTCCTAACGGGTATGTTTCCACATTTGGAAGATCATCAGCATAAACTGCTCTCTTTCGTCAAAGACAGAGCTAGCCTATTGTCTCAGAGGTGCTTCCTTGGCTCGAGTCCAACCAAAGGTTGAAAACAAAATATAAAATGTACATAGAAACAAACAGATGTTTCTTAGAGGTGGAATTATGGACTATTTTCTTTTGGCTTGTCTGCATAATTTAAGCTTTCACAACATGAAAATATAGTATTTTTACAACAACAACAACAAAAATGTTATTTAGAAAAATTCAACCAGTGCCCTCAAGTCTGACTTGCTCATATTGGACTAGCCTTTCCCAAGGCTTCTCTAACCATGAGCCTTAACTTTGTTTAGTAGAAAACCTACTACAATGATGTGTCACAAACATCATGTATACCCCTACAGACTAAATCAAGCTACTCTTGAAACTGTGATTACGAGGATAATTTCTATTTGGGACATAAACCTCAATCTCAGAAACCAACTTTAGCTAACAGAATACTTATTTCACAGCTGTGTCTAATCTAGAAAGCCCTGGTAATACTGTGAGAATTCCAGGCAACTTTGGTATCAATCACTTGGGCCTCTTCTCTGATGGAGAAGCAAATGCATTTCCTCACTCATCTTCTCGACTATACCTACTTTGCGTACAGAGCTTGTAGACATACTCCAGAAAGGGTTCATAACGTGCACTCCAACCAAGAAATTCCCGTCCTCAGCATTCACTTTACCTTCAAAGAGACAGGAGGAACAAAAACAGACCACCAACAATTTTAAGAATTCTGAAATGCTTAAACTCTAAATATGACAGTCTAAATTAGGGGTGGGGAACCTTTTTTCTGGCGAAATTTATAACATCATTCTTAGGCCATACAAAATCATCAACTTAAAAATTAGTCTGCTATGGGATAATGTACTGGACTGCAAGACTGGTTCAAACTGCAAAGTCAGTGGTTCAAATTCACCAGCCACTCCTTGGAAACCCTATACCAAGGTCACTATGAGTCAAAACCGACTCCATTGTACTTAACAACAACAATGTGATAGCTGGAACTCCAGTTGCTTGAGGGTCCCAGACCAAATGATTTCATGGACCTTGATGTTCCCCACCCCTGCTCTAAATAGAGATTAACAATGCAATGGTATATGAATGGGCTTCAAGAAGTTCATGGAAAAACTCCATTCTCTTTTTATTCCATTTTTCCACAAGCGTTTTGAAGTTCCCTCTTGTGTAACATACAGTTCTAAATCTAAGAGGGGAAGAAAAAAAGTCTTCAAATATCTTCAGAAATTCATAGTTTCTTTCTCTTCTGGCTCCAACTCCTTCCCCCCACCCCTGCCCCCAACACTGTAGAGACTCATCAGAGTCCCTGTCGATGGTTCAGAATATTCATTGATAATTTGGCTTTAGTGACAAACATTCAAAAGATAATGGACCACAACAGCTGCTTCTAGCATAAAATCTAGGCATTTCACTCTTGGAAAAGAAAGGTTCAGAATGCACTGTACCCACAAAGTCAATAGTTGTATCACTGTTCCCAGAATTATGGAAACAAATGACAAGGATTCAAGGTGGCTGATTAGAAGTGTTTTAAATTAGTTGTCTCAAATACGGAATTACTCCCTCCAGTGAAACTAGTAGCCAAAGACAGAAACAGCAGCAGAGGGAGGAGAGAGCATACGTATCTTGATAAGACGGCAGTCAGAGCTGTGTTCTGTCAGGATCATTCCCACCAAACTGCCTTTTCAACTGCTAAAAATATGGAAACTGCATGATTAGGCATTTAAGCAGTACATATTGATGCAACAAGGAGTGCAAAAAAGACATTTCTCAAGCCACGGGTGATTCAAGCAGTGGATAAGAGAACATATCTCAGAGGTCACAAAGTCAGTAGGTCATTTACTAAAAATATGAAGGAAGCAGCAAAGGAAAAGCCAAGTTGAGCAGTAAGAACAGCAACTTCTGTGCTCTATGGTAATGTTTAAAACAGACCTCTGAATTCCTCCTTGGGGGGGTGGTGGTGGTGTGCCATGGAGTCAGTTTCAACTCATAGCGATCCTACATAGGGTTTCCAAGGCTGTATATCTTTGTGGGAGCAGAAAGCCTCATCTTTCTCCAGAGGAACAGCTGGTAGTTAGGAGCTGCTGACCGTGAGATTAGCAGCCTGACTCATAACAATAAAAAGGATGCAGGTGAAAACTCGGGTCAAAACTTAACACTATACTAAATTCATGGCCGATCAGCAGAGGGTAAAGTACTAAACTTCTCTATAAGTTGTATGCTAACTCACTTGACTTCCAAGGGTGGGTACAAGGTGCCCTATACTCCACCAGGCCTATTATTGCTGTTTGGCTTTCCAAGAGATAATGCTACCCAGTAATTAAATCTAAGGAATGAGGAACCTGGTTCTTCCACTGACCTGTAGACTTACATCCAATTAAGTAGCAACAGCCTTCGGGAAATCTGTCTTTAAAGGTAACCATGACACAGATGAAAATAGCTGGACATCAAAAATGGGGTGGTGGTGGTATATGTTTGTGTTTAGCCCAAATAGAAACAATGTTGGTTTTCAGATCCAACCTTATTGTACAGCACCACTGTATAGATTGAGAGTGTGTTAAGGCTTTCTAATCCCTCGGAAACCCTGTACAGGGTCGCTATGAGTCAGATCTGAATCGACTGCACTCAGTAACTCTCTAGACTAGAGCACACCTGATTTAACAGAAAACCATTTCTTGGGTCCCATTCCCTTCCTTTGTAAATTTAGTAGGGGCACACCAATCACCTGCGAAGACCCTTCCAAAACCAGCGCGTTAAAATTCTATAGCTTGCCTTCAAGAAGGTCTAGAACTTGGCCCCAGTTCTTCCTATCTTCAAGCAGCAGGTCTAGCCTTAAACCAAACGTTTCTAGCACCAACAATCACCAAGAGAACGTCTAAGTGTACTTTCTGGGAATTCTCCAAATGTAGTGCCACGAATGGAAGGAAGATAAAAGAGTATGTCCTGGCCATCGGAGACACTTTGAGAATTTCTGCTGGTTCAGCCATAGGAACAAACACGATCGCTTTCTTTTTACAGCCCAGACCCATACGTGGCTGGAGCGCACACTAGAGCTGTTCCTAGCATGTGCCGTGATGCCTCCATGGGCATTAAATTAATACATAACCCTGTAAGACGCTTAAGAAAATGCGAGTTAAGAGGCGACGGCGGAGGGCCCAAGGAAGAGACAAAAAATTACCCCAGTCCCACAAGGGCAGCTGGCTTCGGACGGGCACCCTTGCCCAGGGCGGAAACCAGTCTCCACGCACGCACTCCGAGAATCTGGACAAACCTGTCTCAGGTGTTGCACCGCGGGGGCCACAGCCTGGTCTCCCAATGAGCTCAGGGCGACGGCTCATGGTTGCCCCGGACCCATGAGCCCCAGCGGCAGGGGCCGAGACCCTCCTTGGCTCCTCCATGGCCCCTTCAGATGGAGGACCAGGACTGGGCTGGAGAGGGCGGGCCTTAAACGGAGCGGGCCGGCCCGACTCTCGCCACAGCACCCAAGCCAGACCTGGGCAGCGACCGGCGCAGCAGGTGCCTGAAACCTCGCGGACAGGTGTCCCGCCAGCACCGGGGTTTCTGCACTGCCGCCTTCAGAGCCATGACTGCTCCGCAGGGCAGACAAATGCCAGGCCCGAACACACCAGGGGCCAGGGCCTAAGGACGCCTCAGCCCTCCCATACCTACCGGACTCCCTGGCAGTGTGCCTCTTCCCTTTGCCTTCAACGCAGCGCTCTTGGCCGCCGAGCGCCGCCCGACAGCATCTCTGGCCACAGCGCCCGTCCAGCGCCTGCCCGCTCCCCGCCCCGCCCTGCCCTGCCTTCTGAATCGGGCTCCGCCCCCCCCGCCCGGGCGCTTCCGCCCCAGCCTCCTTGCGCCAAGAGGCTGTCACACCTGCCTGTCAAAAACGTTCTTCTGGGGGTGCTGGCCGATAGCACTACGTCTTGCCAATCAAATCCGCTCCCTTCGGGTAGGACCGGGCTTGACCCTCCCCTTTACGTAACAGGATCAGGTCGAACTGGCAGTCACGGAAGTATTGGCCCCTTGGCGAGTGGAGGGGGTGGATATAATTGGTCACAGTGTCCGTCAGTCGTCATAGAGGCCCGCCTACTGGTTTATGCGGCGAGGCCCATCCAGCCACTCAGAGAGGCTGTGACTGCGGGATTTCTTCAGCAGGGCATGGGCGGGGCCCGACACTGGGCTGGTGTCTCCAGAGAGGGGATTTGGGGTCGGGAAGGTAGACTGTGAGACTCCTAGTTATGACAAGAGTGACGTCTGATGGCCCTGTGATCCCCCTAGGTGGGTTGCAGCACCTTCGATCATTCCCTTGTCACTGTCACGTGGATTCCTTGGGGGTCCCAGGGGGGGCATGAGAGGTAGGAGTCAGATTGAGACCACCAGCTGAGGTGGAGACGCCCGTTTGCCATATCAAAGCCTGAAGGGCCTAATGGAGATGGGCTGGGGTTAAGGGGACAGTACCAGAAATGTAGATTCTTTACAGGTTCCTTTGATAGGTGAGAAACTCCCCCATGACAACATTTGTTTTTGCTCCTAGCGTGGAGTCGGTTCTGACTCATAGCGACCCTGTATATTACTCCTGGTCTAATGAGCTTTGGGGTTTGCTTTTTAATCAAGGCTTTCATTGAAATCTGAAAACTCTTACCACAGCTGACTTTTCATTGTTCAAATGCCTTTCACGGGGGTGGGGGGTGGGGGGGCCAAGTCATACTGAATAAAATGGAAATGCGGTTAGCTGTTGGGACCGTAATCCCATATTCCCTCCTGATGCCACACGAATTCTGTGGTGGCTGCCACTGGGTCCACACCTCTGGGTTTTTTCTTCCTAGGGTTCTGTCTTGGACTGCCCCCGCCCCCCCCCCCCCAAAAAAAAAAAAAAAGAGTTTTCCACTCCTTTCTCTAGATACCCACAGCACTGATGCTTGGGGCACGGGCACTGGCCCCTAGTGCAAAATCTTCCACCAGAAAAGGAGAAACAAGTCTCTGACCCGGTTATTTGCTGCCAAGATTCTAGTAAATGATCTACCTGCTATATGGCAGAAAGCCAAACTCCCCTGATATTAATCCCAAGGGTTGTTTCTGAAACCCAGCTTCCTCTTTCCAGTTCAAAACACACAAGAAGCCGGTGGGGTTGAACTGCTGGTCTTGTGGTTAGTAGTCTAGTGCTTATCCTACAGCACCACACCAGAGTTCTTGTTATGTGCCACGGCGTCGGTTCTTGGATCAGTTATCAACACTCACGGAAGCTGTAGTCAAGAAATCAAACGGGGTATTGCATTAGGCAAATCTGCTGCACAAGACCTTTTTAAAGTGTCGAAGAGCAAAGATGTCAGCTTGAAGACTCAGGTGCACCTTACCCAAGCCATGGTATTTTCAATAACCATGTATGCATGTGAAAGCTGGACAGTGTATAAGGAAGACTATAGAAGAATTGATGCATTTGAGTTGTGGTGTTGGAGGAGAATATTGAAAGCGCCATGGGCTGCCAAAAGAACCAATAGATCCCTTTTGGAAGAAGTGCAGCCAGAGTGCTCCCTGAAGGCCAAGATGGCCAAACTTTGTCTCTCATACTTCGGACATATTGTCAGGAGGGACCGGACTGGATAAGGATATCATGTTTGGT